GCTCTGGCCACATTAACAGATGTGCTGCTAAACAACAGATTATATGTGGGCGGTGCCAAACTCAGCCCCCTCCTGGAAAGATCCATTATCCCCACAATTTAGAGCAAAAAGCCAACATATTCTAAACTCAACCCCTGTGAAGAAACAAGGGTGGGGAAGCCAGATTTAGTCAACTCCCCCCTGTCAGCTAGTGACAAGTAACACTTTGTGAACATAGAAAAACAGTTAGCCAATCATTTGAAAGATAAATGAATCACCACTCTGTGACTATAGAATCCCAAAGAGCTGGGCCGAATGATTCTGGATGAAGCCTTTCCGCCCCGCTAAGGCTCTGGATGTGATCAGTGAATCAGGAGTAATTAGACAGGTTCATTTCCTGTGTTGTTTAATAAACGCTGTCATGGACGACTGGCCCAAAACATGAAGCAGCAACCGGGAGCCATAAGACCTCACGATCCTCTAAATGCAGCAGTGTTTATCCGGTCAGAGGGCCAATTACAGTGCTCTTCCACAGCACAAACGCGCAGGCCTACAGGTGGAAACAAAAATATACCTCCAGCCCCACCCTATGAGCCGACTCACAATATTGAGTCAGAGCCCTGAAATTGTGAAACCTCCCAACAGGCAACGCGGCAGTGCTCCCATAGAGGCCTCACGTCAGGTTCCCACAAGGGAATTTCACCCAATACTTCCTCTTATTTTTAGAAACTAGGCCAATCACAAAAAGCGGTGAAGATCACTCGTGCTCCTCCACCTAAAGCCCCCCCCCCCTTTTTTCGGCTTCCCGAGTCAAAACTAACTCTGTGTCCTTAAAATAGCCGGCTGGAGATATGGAACAAGATGATAACAGCTCTGCTTTTTTTTCTCTGCCGTGCGGTCAATAGGAACTCTTTTTTTTTTTTTTTTTCTCCCCGTCTTCCTGCAAGTTTGGCCTGATAAAGCAGGGCGGCCAGACGACGGGAGATGCTGCTACAGCCTTTCCTCCCAGGGTACAGACGTGCGTCCAGCCTGACAAGAAGGGGTCAGGGTAGGCCTGAGAGAGGAGTACTAGTAACTGTACGACTCTGCAGCCTTTGGGAGGCTGATGTGAGGGAGCAGGGGAAGCGGGGATTGGCGTATGTGTGCTGCAGTCCACTGAATCGAACCAGATGTCAGGAGAGAAGCTCCAAGCAGACTCGGAGGAGCTCTTTATTTATTTTTTTTTAAACAGATGTCACAACCCGGCTCTGCCATGCCTCAGCAGCCTGACCATGCCTCACTCTGCCCGGGCTTTTTTTTTGGGTGCAACGCTCCTGTCTGACGGGAGTCTGACAAAATCCTTTATCCAGGTTACCCCCCCCCCCTGTTTCTCACCACAAACAAGCCTTTTTCATATGGCAAGTCCTCCTCAGATGGCCCCCCTGACAAGATGAAGCTGAGCAATTCATTAAAACACAGCAAAAGAAAAAAAACACATCTCTGCTTGGTTACACCCAAAACTGGGAAAAAAGAGGTGGATATTAATCATAAGACAAACTTTGGGGAGCGGTTATGGAGGCTTGTTTGAGACGGCTGAGGGAGGAGAAGCACAAAGCAGGCTGTGATCTGACAGAGGATCCATGTTCATGTTAGGGCGACCTCATTCCTGCTGTGGAGCCCCCCTACTCCTCCAGCCAGCCCCCCTCTCTGGACGGGCAATAACAAAGAATTGATCGATACGTTGCACTTTCCCGTGCGGGGGTCCAGAGACCCCCCCTCTTTGTTCCAGGGCCAGAGCAACAGCATCCGCGTTGGCACAACGACCCCACGACTCACTTCATGGATGATGTCGCACTCATCTTTTAAGCTGCCTCCCCACTTTTTTTTTTTGAGAGCCCCTTTCACCCAAAAAAAAAAAAGACCCTCCCTGCCTCCGAGCCACTTTTGAAATGTTCCAGCGTTCCCCGGACTCTCTACCTGCGGTACAAGGCTCCAGAGAGGAGAAACGAGGGAAGGTTCTGGGCCAAATGTTTGTTTGAGGGCGATACGCTGTTACAGGGAGAAGAAACATGCTTGCACACACAGCGACATTGTAACAAGTGTGATTCGGCTTTGCGCAGCAAAAAGCGAGAAAAAAAAAAACTCACCACAACTCCTGTAGCGCCCAGAAGTACCCCGCGAGGGGGGAGAAATCAAGGCCAAGCTGGGTTTTTTTTCCTCCACGTTTTTTTTTTTTTTGTTAGCCCCGGCCCCTGTCTCCACACCCCAAGAACCGAGAGTGTGAGCGGGGTGGGGGGGCTGTGGGTGATAGCAGAGGAGGGAAGCCCAACCTGGGACGCGCAGCCAGCACTTCGCAGTCGGGTTTTTTTTTATTGTTATTCCTACGGAAAAGCAGGCGACCCCCCCCCGGAATGCCACGGCGTTTCGCCCCGTGCTAAGCGGTCAGCTCGGAGGGTTGTTCCTGTGCCTCCCTGGGCGGTAAATCCCACAGTTTATCCGCTGTATCCGGGCGCGTCAGCCGACTATTCTAGTCCGCCATGTTGTGTGTCTGTCTGCATAGGAAGAATGGGAAGCGAACAGAAAATTCCCAGGCCAGGCCCCGTCTCCTCTCCGCTGGGGTTTCTCCGTAGCGCACAGCGCCCCCTGCTGGCGGAACTGCACATCGCACCGTCCACACTGCAGCAGCTCATCCACAGCTCTGAAGGTGGCATTTCTCATTCATTCACAAGTTTTATAGATTAATTATTAATCGGTGGCCTCAGTCTCTTAAAATAATTAAAAAAAGAAAGAATAAGACTGGCTGAACATAATTTTACTCCTCACTGGCCAAAGATATTTCTGCAGTGTGAGTGATCGTACAGTCACACAGATCAGATGTGGCCACTCATTTTTTAACTGAAAGACTACAGTCCTCCACCTGATTTTAATGTGACTAGAGCGAAGGAGTAAGCCAGTATGTGAGCCTGTCATGCTGTGAGATGACACATGCTGACGGAGCCACCGGTGATAAACTTTTAATGCCCCTGAATACAGCATTAGTCCTCCATTAACCGCCATGCAAGGGTTTTTACACACGAGCTGTTACATCTGATTTATTTTTCACATTGCATCATAAATGAAAACGGCAGTAGGCTCAAATTTAAAACTAATAAATATGGATTATACATACATCGTGTTTTGACTGCTGTTCAATCTCCTGACATAATGCCATCACGTGGAATTTTTTTACAGGACCCAGACGGGAGGATGCCATTGGTTCCTGCAAGGCAACCATTTTGGGCTGATCAGACTTTGTCTGTGAACATGCCAGTGTGTTTCTTCTACACATTACACAGAATGAATAGGTGTTTAAAGCTCTGGCTGGAATACAGTGTTGACTGTGTGAACAGTCTATGACAGAAGGTAAATATATATATATATTTTTTTAATGGCATGTTTGTGTGTGTGTGTGTGTGTCAGCAGCTGACAGATTTGCAATGGCAAAGCTTAGACTGCCAGGTTAGCAATGACAGCCTGGGTGAATTCATCGCTTGTTGCATAGCCCCCCAGGTCTCCAGTGCGCACCTGTCGCAAACATAAGGACAGCACGTTACTGTATGCACAGCTGCTGCAACACGTGTCCACATACAGTCCCGGGGCCTGCGTGTTAGAGAGCCTCTGAAAAGCTGCACTCACACATCGCTCTGTTATTTTCAACACGACTCTGGGAATTTAAATTGACCACTCGTTGCTGTGCTGCATGTTGATGAGCGGGAAAGAACAAATTTCTGCTTCGAATGTCCACTTTGATTACAGAACTCCCAGATGCTGAACACTGCACTCTGTCAGTGGTAAACTGTCCTGAAATGTTAGAGCTTTGTTTTCTGCTGTGTTAAAAGGGAAAAAACAAGAGTTGCCAACATGTCACAGCGTTTTATTGTTTGAAAAAGTTATCACATGTAAATTCCTTTCAGAGGAATGCTAAATAAAAATACAACGTGAAAGATGATTTGCTGATAGAGCAGTGCTTTAAAATCTTTAAAAACCACTCTGTTACAACAATAACTCAATAACCAACCAGCTCATGAATCGATATTGTAAGCTAGCCTTATATAGAAACCTGCTTTTTGGACACAGTGCCTTCCTTTACCCAATAGTATTTGAAGCATTAGAATATATATATCTCGGTTCCAGAATGGAAAGATATGTTGCAGTTAACGTGAGAAATGCAGTTTTTCTATGACATCGATATGACAGATGCTGCTGGCCAGACATGTCGCAGCACTAGAGGTCAGCAGATTGACACTTAAATTCAGTCTTTGTGAAGTGGCAGCCTTACAGGTTTGACTGTGAGACGGGTGGAGAAGAGCATCCCCAAATTATTGATTTACATAAGCCATCTGAAAATTGAACAAGAATAAATAAGATGAAAAACGATAACTATGGAAAAAGACTGAAATGACTAACCAAGAACATTGTAAGCTGTATGTTTTTTTTCTCTTTTTTTATTTTTATTTCTTTTAGCCAAGGCTCTATCAGCAAACCCACTATGGACCATGAAGATGCAGCTGATGTCAGAGCCGTGTGACACAGCTGCCATTTAGAATGTGAAGGGGGGTGGCGGGGGGGGGGGGGGGGGGTTGAGTCTTAACATGCATTCAGTTCATGTTAAGATCAATGTCCAGATGGTAGGAAAAGTCAGTGGGGAGTGTGACCACACATCTTAGTGAATAGGCCGGTGACGCAGGTTTCCCACGACGGCGTGCACAAAGTCGCCAGTCGTAGAATACCCGCCGAGGTCTCGAGTCCGTACCTGGGATGTGCACAAACACACACGTATGTATACACACACACAAACACAGGATAACGGGTTGCAGAGGAAAGGCGTGAATCAAAGCGGAGGGGGGGGGTGATGGCACACTTAGATGGTGGGCAGGCTCATTTTTGTGGCATAAGAGAGGCAAAGGTTGCCAGCCCTCAGGACTGTGTTTGTGTTAGTGTATGTTAGTCCAAACACTGTCCTAATGGGAGATGTAGAGAAACTGAACATTTAAAAGATGGACAAAAAGAAGCAGGACTAGAAATGTAGCAGACACACAAACTAATTTCAGATCTAGCGCATCAAAGGCTCTCTAACACGCTGCAGGCTGTAGAAAGCTTTGGGATTTGCAGGTCAAGAACAGCGAATATCACAGCTAATGTGCTGGATCAATCTGTTTCCATCTGACTGATTAAAGTGAGAACTCCGAGATTGGCTGCTCACGGCAGCTCACTGTGAATGAGCTTGCCATAAACATTTATTGCATATTTCATTTTCTGAAGTGCCTCCAACATTACGATACAAGGTTTACACCACAGCGATTATTGACCTGCAAAACCAACGAGGAGCATTTTAATTAAGAAACAAGCTCTGTTGGCTTCAGATATTCTGCAGAACACTTGGTGTTGAATATGTTCACTGTTAATGTTGGCCTTTCTGGCATGTTTTAGTTATGATGGGCGTTATTAGATCCAGTGCATGCATCCACGAGTAGGTACAGAGCAAGTACAACATATGTTTACCTTTCCCTGTTTGATGACTCGTTTGACAGCATCTGACACCATTTGGGAGTGAAATTCCAAGCTGAAACAACAGAGACAGCCGTTACAATCTGTTATATTGGCTGATATTACCGCCTTAAGGTGTTCCGACAACCCTCAGGGGTCACGGTGGACCACGATATAGAAAAAAGAGGTATAAAAAGAGATGTAATAGATTGGTGGTGTCAAACTCCAGTCCTTGAGGGGCTCTGTCAGGCAGGTTTTAAACATGCTCCTGCTTCTACACACCTGATTGTGTTTAAATGGATTTCTTCAAAGCATTGTTACGGTGTGCACGGGCGAGATAATGGTGCACTGATGTGAATCAGGTGGGGAAAAGACTTACTTGAGGTGTCTGAGCATGTTAGCAGCACTGAGCAGCATGGCTGTGGGGTTGGCGATGTTCCTTCCAACAGCTTGTGCAAAAGGATGACGTGCCCCCTAAAATTAAATAAAAATAATTACGAAACCCAGTTGCACTTAGAAAAGGGTTGAGTAACAAGCAGCTCGATGCCAGCATGCAAAATAATCCTATTTTCAGCATTTGCCAAATCAGATTTCTGTCCTTTCCTTCTGATCCAAACAACTCACAGTCTCAAAAACAGCATATTCTGCGCTGAAGCTTTCCCCCGGGACAACTCCTGCTCCTCCAACCAGTCCTGCAGCCAGGTTATCGATGATGTTTCCATACAGGTTGGGCATCACCAGCACGTCAAACTGGTACGGGTTTTGGACCAGCTGCAGCACAGAGATGAATTAATTGACTTGTTTGGGGAAAACATACAAAAACCAGAGTAAACTGCGCTCAGCCAGTCACTTTGTTCTCTTTAAAAAACAAAACAAGGTTTGAAGGGTAAAGCTTCAAATACCTGCATGCAACAGTTATCGATGATAATGTTCTCATATTTGATTTTGGGGTACAGCTGGGCCACCTCGGCACAGCTCTGCAGAAACAGGCCATCGCCTAATTTCCTGAAAAGAAACGGTGTATGACAACAATCAGACTGTTAAGCAGGATCCAGATAAGCAGTTTATTTTAGAATGTTATTCCACATGCTCCAAGCTAGCTGAAAGTTGCAGTTGCTCCGCCAGCTGAGTCATTATTCTATTTTCTGGTAGTTTATTACTCTAAAAATCATTCCCACTTTGGAAAAAAAATTTTTTATTTCATTTCACATGCAACAGAGAGGACACTGTCAGAAATGCACTTACATGATGTTAGCTTTGTGAACGGCTGTGACCTTGTTTCTTCCCTTTTTGGTGGCATAGTCAAAAGCGAACTTGGCAATGCGCCGTGATTTATCTCTGGTAATGATCTTCAAACACTCGATCACACCCGTCACGCTCTAAAACACAGTGAGAAAAGTAAATGCAACTTTATCGTTGCTTTCTTCAAGAATAGCTAATGAGACAAATAACAGAAGGCACATTTATTGTAATTTGCGGGCTTATGTTTCATGAACATTTCTGAGCTTGAATATCACACAGACTTTACAAAATGTTATATAGAAAGTGTCTTTTAAGCCATCAGGAAAAAAAAAACGGAAAACATTTGGATTACTTCAGAATAAGCGTATAGCTTCAGAATAAGTTTTTTTTAAAAAGTGCTCATATAATGTGACACTCTCGCATGTTTGACTGGCAAGAGCTTGAAGGCAAAAGCTTGGTTTGGTAAATTCTGCAGTATGGTTATATTCAAGTCTCTCTAGCTGCATCTAAGCTCATTGATGACTCACCTCACATTAAAATTGACTACACTGTGAACGCAACATTTCAAAGTGAACAAGTATCACACAAGGGACATTTTGGGTGTGTTCAAATAAAGGTTAGGTGTACTAAAGAAATAGAAACACAAAGGTGCAGTTCAGAGAGGATTTAAAATTTCAAAATATCAACAAAATTTATTCTGAGATAAGAATTTGATTAAATAATAAAACAAATTAAGAAAGTTACAATAAGTGCGTACAAGGCGAGCGAGCACAAATGTGCCTTTAGATATATTGATAGATTGATACTTATTGACTGATACTATGAACCCCAAGGGACATTCATGTAAAACCATTAAGGAGAGTATTCTCCAGTTTCTTTACCTCGTGCTCCAGAGCGCTGTACTCCCCTTCAGTCTGTTCGCGGATAATGACCAGGTCCAGGTTGTTGTGCCGGGTGCTGTAACCAGGGAGGCTGTTCACGTGAACCACATTGGCAAACAGGTCCAGTTTACGCCTGGTGAAGAAACAGCAATGTAGGGTAAGTTTAAAATGATGCACACAAACAATAAAAATATATATATCTTTAAGTTATTTACCTTAGTTTCATCTCATAAGAAGCCAGCTCTCCTTTGTACTCCATTGGTGCATGAATCTTTCCTAGAAAACACAAAAACCACATAAGCAACACAAATTCCTGAATTTTATTTGAGCTGGAGCACCTCTTTTCAGCTCTTGGATATTTGATATAAATAAATCCACCTTTGATAGCCACTTTGTTAGTCTTCATTGAGGTCAGCACTTGCTCCAGTTTCTCCTCGCTGGCCATGTTCTGCACTTCACTCAGATGGAACTCCTCAAACTCAATGGGAACATCACCTGCCTTCAGTTAAGGACAAAAAAAGTCAGAAGTTAAGATGGATATTTGAAGTTTTTAATTAAAAGTAACAGCTGTGACATGATAAGTGAAACATCCATTAAATGCTTATTACATCTGCTGTATTGCAGCAGTCTCCACAATTCCTGTGTGAATTATCATGGACCCTTATGGATTGCATACTGTGTGTTTAGTAAACAAGCAGGAGATGAAGAAAAAGGATTTTTCCACTTCTGTCCATTAAGAATGTACCTTAAAGACCTCCTTAACAGCAGTCATCAGCTCAGGTCCCACTCCATCCCCTGGAATCATTGTGACCTTGAAAGTAGTATCAGCGCGTGATGGTGGGGTCTCTGGCCCACAGAGACCGGCCGACAAACTCAGGTGCCGAGAGGCCAGCTGCTGCCACCGGGGCCCGCCAAGGCCCTGAAAGATGGTCACAAATGCACAATTATACACCATGCCAAAATATAGCATGAGAAAATACAAGCTATGTATTCTTAGACATTTGTCATCGTTATGATTATCATTTTGCCTATTCAAACCTAAGGCTACTTTAAATAAATAAAACAAGAAGGGAATAAAAACGTCTAATTGCTAAACAGTTTATTCTTCTTTGCGTTTTCTGATAACTTGAAAATAAAAAAGAACACTGCAATCATCTTCCAAGATTATCACTTTTTAGCATAAGACAACTGTTAAGTTTGGGTTGATCCTATTAAGCCCGTTATTTTGTAATTAACCGGATAGGTAGCAGCAGAGGGCTCTAACCACATCAGGGTTAACGGTCGAGGTTATAAGCCACTTAGGCAGCCTAAGAATAAGGAATGTAACTAGTGATGGTGCTGGCTTGCTTGACCTCGACTAGTGATGATGCTGACTTGCTTGACGTCGATTTACTGCCAAACAAAAATCAAACAGGTTTTCTTTTCTCGTCATCTGTTCGCTTAAACATTACTTAGTCGCTTGACTATGGCTTGTATCGTCCATGAGGGTGAGGGTCACAGAAATAAACTGACACGCAGACCTTTTTCTTTAAAAACCGACTGCAACGCAGAGCTTGGCGTGACAGAGTATGACTTTACCAGTTAATTTTTTCTACCGATGTATTTACCCAAATAGTCAGTAAAAATCATCTGAATACTCACCTTGACCAATGTTACTAAGCTTCCTCTTAAGGCGGCCGCCATTATTCCAGGTATACAGCAGCTGTACTTCTTCTTCTGTGGTGATGCAGTGACTACGTGTTGCCGACTATTGTACAATAGCGCCTCTTACTGGACAGATAACATATGACAGGCAAAGTGTGGAAATATGACAACACAGTTCACTTGCCAGTTTTAAGGGGTTATATGACAGGAAACTCGATGCATTTTCTTTGCTCGTCTACTGAAAGACTAACATCCCTCTTGACATTTCAGAACGCCAGGTGGAAGGTAGCTGGAAGATTCTCAGTTTCCTACACACTAAATGTAAGTGTGGTACTACAGTCACAGCTAGTGGGATATTTTTGCTTTCATGCTCTCGGTTCTGGAAACGAAGTCAACTCAACAGACCCAGCCACAACATCATACATGCTTATTAGGTTTTCATTTCATTGTACTTCTGCCCACAGATAGTTTCCCCAAAGGTATATAACGGACAAAGTTGCATTAGAGAGGAGTTACTTTCCTTCAGTCAGCTTTATTTCTGTGATTTACAACGCACTACAAACTGCCTTTCTATGCTAACTATTTGACAATGAAAGAAACATTATTTGCATAACCACTGTACTGTGACTTCTTGGACACAGCTGCACAGATAAAACAGGGATGTTTGGCTACCTAAGATTTCATTTACCTGAGAAAATAATATGGCAAACAGACTGGAGTAATGAGGACAGGGATAAGAGGTCAAATAAAATGCTTTAAAACCCTGTAGTATTTAAAAAAAATGTCCTAGCACACCAACAAAGTAAATTAAACAAATAAGGCCTCACAAGTCTACAAGGCACATATGATTTTTCTTAGTATGGTGCGAGTGGAAGAAGGCTGCACAACTTTGGTGTCATTAGTTTGTTTTTACAAAAGAAAGCAAGTGACAAAAATAAATAAATATGGAGCCTTTAAGTATGTTTACCAAAATACAATTCAGCAATGCAGCATTGTTGAGTCATTTAGGGGCCCAAAATGGAGCAGAGCTGGGCCCCTACAACAGAACAGGCCTTTAAATGTGTTTTGTTGAGTCTAAGTTCTTCAACACTGAAACTTTGAGGCCCTGAAAAGTCCCCTTGCTGAGGATGCACATTCTTACAGCCTCGCCATGCAGATTATTCACAATGTCGCCCCTGGATATTAGGTTGTTTTGAACTAGTTTTTTTCCGGTCAAGCTGGTTCACTTACTAAAACCAGGCTGCCCTACGCTGGTTAATAGGGATGGAACCTAGTCCTAATCAGGGTTGGAAAATCTTTCTGCCGACACAGAGAAAAATATCAGCTTTGCAAAAACAGTTCTGTGACACTGTCTGAGCAGGTTTGTCTGGCAGAATTCATTGACACAATCAGAATGGACATTTCCGTCTTATTTGGTTACTGGTTTGCCTCAATTTCTGAGTAAGGACTCTCAGGTTATCATTTTTCTCTTGTGGAAGCAATTAATCGTAAATAACAGTTATATAATCGATAGCATATCAATTGGTTACAATTTATCAAAACTGTACGAACATACTAATGTTATGATGGTTTTTCGTTTCTTTGTGTCCCAAAAGGCTGGCGAGGCTTCCTCCGAAGTGAGTAAATAGCATGAGGTGTTCACTGGCGAAACAATAGAGGCACAAATCTGCATTAAACTGTTCATCTCGACATTTAACCCAGTGAATCTTTGGAACGACACAAATACCCCAAGCCTGAAAGACCATATTTAGGTGAAAATTCTCCATACTCCAGTAGCGCGCGACTACTGGCTGCCAGCTGCGGCGTAGTATGTGAGATGACCATATATGGGCAAAGCCAGGCACAGCGAGAGCTGCACCCACTTCCGTGTTTGTGTGAGCAGGGAGTGTAGCGCACACAAGCGGAGGAGCGTCTCTATCTTCACCCTTTCATTCATTGGGAATCGTAACGATAAGCAAGAGGCCGACGATAAAAATGCCGTACGAACTGAGTAAGTGTGGTCCTCTCTAACCTCAGCGCCCGAGAAAGAAAGTAACGGAACTATTGTTTTGCAACAAACTAGTCGCCAAATCCGGCTAGTCATTCAGGTAGTCCGACAGCTAGCTAGCCTCGCCCAGTACTGCGAGATTTTTGACACCTCATTCCTCGCGTATGAAACAGTCAAGCGGTACGACCGTGAGTTTAAAAACAAAGACCTTTTTCTCCAATATAGTGTGCTGAGAAAGCGCCGTGGTGGGGAGGGCAGCCGGCGTGAGACAGGACTTTTAAGTTGGGTTTAGCTAGCTGAGCTAACGTCACTTGGAGGAAATAGTTGTGCACGCATCGCATTGTTGTGACATGTCCAGACAGAGGGCTGTCAGGCTGTCTGGACGTTGTGGGCAAAACGTGGTCCGTTTCACCACTTTATTGTCATGATTATTTAGAATATTCACTGTACAATTGGCAGATGAGATTTTTTTTAAATGCTTTGGGTTATTGTGGAAGTCCATTGATGATCACCAGTATAGTGCCGTATAAGTCCATGCATGCTGTCAGTAGAACTGGAAAGAAGATGAATGACTTTCCAGACACTCATTTATCTTGTTGCAGGATGCCATACCTATGATGTATGTACCTTATGTATTATTTAGATCTCTATTACACGTTATTTAGTTTAGTAGAACAAAACATTTTAATTAAACACATTTTATGTACATGAAAGTGTTGGATAATTTTAAGATCATATTAAAACAATATTTAGGGAGGTTGTAGTAAAAGGGACTTTTCAGTCAAACATGAATGAATACATTTATATTGAATACATTTTCTATTCCCAGTATATAGTATTTGATCATGTTCACTTACTAACCTGGTATTGATTTTTTTTTTTTTTGTCACTTGAATCTAATTTCTGGCTGATGAGATTCTCATTGACATCCAGAACCCGGTTGAAAAGTCTTTGATTTATTTGGCTGCAAGTTATCAAATTAAACACATATGAGAGGATAAATTGGCTTCATGCAAGTTTGGGAAGAACGGTGGGTTGGAGGGCAATGATTATCTGGGATCATGTTGAAACACAACTCCATGAAGTCCTCAAGATAACAAGTTAATGGATACAGTTAACATCATCATACCCTAGATTGTATCCAACCTGGTAGATAAGCTTTTCATTCTAGAAGTGCAAAGAAACGTCCTTCCGGCTCCCTGTTTAACATAAGTCATAGCTATGTTTTAGTAAGTGCTGTCTCATGGAATAGTTCAGGGTAATGATCAGTATTCTGGTTTAGACTCAACAACAGTCTCATGTTGACTTCTTTGTTTATTTTTAGAGCAAGTATTCGCCAGTCTCCCACAGATGGAGAGGGGAGTTGCAAAGGTGATTGGAGGCGATCCCAAAGGAAACAACTTCCTCTATACTAATGGGAAATGTGTCATCATCAGGAACATTGAGGTAATTGTTTGTTCTTTAAGGCAATTTCTGCTGACCTTGCAGATTCAGTCACAGCTTTGCAGACTTATTTTAATTCATTGTGCATATTTGCATGCTAATTGGACTCAGTTTCTCAGTTTTTGGACTAAGTTTCTTCCCATTTAGTGTTCTTGTTTCTTTATTTTTATCTTGTCTTCTTTGAGCTCAGTTTACATCTTCCTTCTCAGAGTTGGAGGGTTAGATCTATGGATTTAATCAAAAGATGGTTAGTTTCTAATAGTTTTACATAGAAATCTTCTTACTAAATTCTATCTGCTAATAATAGGATTAAATTAATGTATTGTTTTAATGCCCTCTGTAAGATGCCAACATGTTGATATCTCATATTTCTTCTCTTTGAAAGAATCCAGCCATTGCAGATATTTACACCGAGCATGCTCATCCAGTTACAGTGGCCAAGTATGCCCCCAGCGGATTCTACATTGCATCTGGAGGTACAAGATATATTTTAACATGTCATCATATGTACCCACCTCAGAAATGCCAACAGATTTATTAAATCTTTCTAAACTTCCCAGATGCATCAGGAAGGATCCGTATCTGGGACACCACCCAGAAAGAGCACATGCTCAAGTATGAGTACACCCCTATATCAGGAAAGGTCAAGGACATTGCGTGGACAGAGGATAGCAAGAGGATTGCTGTTGTTGGAGATGGACGGGAGAAGTGAGTGTCCAAGTTTTCTCCCTGGATGAAATCTCATAATATCAGAGTTGGATAAAGTTGGGTTAAACACAGATAAATCTGTGACGTGGAACTGGACTGGCTGTGAACATCCACTGGGGTTAACACTTGACTTGGGTCTTATTGTCATTAATTAACACGTAGCTACAAACGGTAAAAGTAACATTCCCGTCTTTATAGGTTTGGTTCCGTGTTCTTGTGGGACTCTGGCTCGTCAGTTGGAGAGGTGTCTGGCCATGCCAAACTTATCAACAGTGTGGACATAAGACAGAAACGTCCTTACCGCCTCGCCACTGCCAGCGATGACACCTGTGGTTCTTTCTTTGAGGGACCTCCCTTCAAATTCAAATTCACATTACGGGTGAGTTAGTCCGTATTTCCTTTTTTTAACCCTTGTTTGTATCAGAAGCTTCATTGAAGGAATATATGTTTTTGAACAAAGCATTTGGGGTTGGATGCTTTCTCAAATAAACCCCACTGAGCACACTAATGTTCCACACCATTTCTGACTTCTGACCTCCTTGATCACAACAAAGTGGCCTTCAGAAAACACAGGCTATGTATTATATGAAGTGTGTCTCTGACTTTCAGCAGGGGCCTTTTGAGAACCCATTGGTCCTCCATATCTCACACCCTCTTGGTCACCACAGTGTTGCCTTGTTTCTGTATTATATAACCTAGTTCCCCCATATATTCTTGAACAGTGCGAGTCGTGTTCCTCAAAACAGGCTTTTCCTCTTAAACTGTGTGTTTGAGCACAATTTGTTTTATGTAAAAGGGTTTATGGATCTTTGTCAAGTATTTTCCATTGCAAATGCTCATTTAGAAAAATATAAAATATTTGAATGTTTTGGTTTTTATCACATTCTTAATCTAATTACAGCTTAAGTTGCTGCAAGAAAATTGCTTTTTTTTCTTCTTCAAATGATTGCTGGGGACTCTGAAATATGCAGTTAATTACTTAACTGCATATTTATGGACTTCAGTTCTTCATAAATGCTCTTTTCCTCTCGGTAATTATGATGTTTTTGGACAATGGAAGGAAAATACCTTTGCTTATTTTTGCATTTTCAGTTAACCCCAGTTCAGTGTTTATTTGGTCATTTCTATATAAATAAGCCCTTCCGCTATGTGTATATAAACAGAGTTTCTCCTTTTCTCTGTGCTTGTGTGATTACCCTGTTTTGGGTCAGCCATTATGATACAATATAAGGAGCAGCTCAGTTTCACTGTGTCCTGATGATGACTAAAGCAGTTTTCACACATGCAGTGCAGTGGCTCCATTTTCCAAAGATGCTCCCTTTTAGCTCACTTTGACAGCACAGACGCACTTGTGAATTTTCATTGCTGCGTGTTTCTGCCCATTTTCTCATTATGGGGGAAAAGCAACACCTCAAAGTACAGGGGGTTATTAAAGTGAACAGGAAGGTGGTCTCTTCTGCCACTCTTTCTAAACTGTCAACAGAACATTATTCTGCTGCCGCCCTTTTTCGGCTGCCCAGCTTGAAAAATAAATCTCCAGCACAGACTGCAATGTTGTGTAATGCGTGTGAACAGAAACAGGATGAAGACCATTTGTTGCAGTCTTTCTCCAGTCTCCCTCTTGCTTATCTAGATAATCTAAATAATCAGTCGGAAAAACGGAATCTTCTCTTATCAAATGCACATGCTGTATGCATCACGTCCCAGCAAATATAAGACTGATAGTATGAGTTAGGTTGAATTATGTATTACGTACAGCATAAGAAAAATAGCACATTTGTTGGAAGACACAAGTTCTGCATACTTTTATTTGCTTATTTATCTTTTTTTATGATAAATTATAGTTGCTTTACTTCTATAGAACGGCTAAGCAAGTTTGCAAGATGCATTTACAGTCAGCAGTAACAAATGCGGGAATACATTCTATTCAAGCGATCCTAAAAAGAGATAAGAATTATAAGACTGCCCCTGTGTAGCTTGTGTAACTCGCAGTGAATAACAATTCCAGTTGTGGAGCTCGTACAGCAAACGTGCTGTGACGGTCAGGAGCACGGCCAATCACTGACCTTTAGTTGGAAGAGGAATTGTTTCCAAAATCTGTTTTTATCACCCCTTGGTCAGCAGTGAAAGGAAACAAAGGATTAAGAGGAATATTCTGTAATGTATTCTCATCATAATTTATATGATGTCTATAATGATGGCACACAGGAAGGTGCTAGGTTTTAAGTACTATAATTAAAAGCTGTGGAAAAATTGACATTCAGATGAATTTCATCATGACTGATGTCTCTCTTTTTCTTCTCCACCTCTGGTGACTTACTACAGGACCACAGCCAGTTTGTGAACTGCGTACGTTTCTCTCCAGATGGAAGTCGCTTTGTTACCGCTGGTGCCGACGGTCAGGTAAGTTTCCTTCATTTGTGTGGATGATTGTAGGAAATGAACATCAGCTTATACAACATTTTGGCCCAGTAGGAGACAGATTACCATTTAATCTGCTGATTTAAAAACCACTCTCCCAATGAACAACATCTTACATTTTGATGGCTTTAGGCAGAACAGCTGTTGTGATGTATAAAATAATCCACTTATGGTGTCATGCTCATAATTTATTAATGTTGTGTAATAAGTTAACTTGCAGTTTGATAGGAATTAAAAATGTAGCTTAAACTGATCCCAACTTCAAGGAAGAAAAAAAAACCTTAAGCAAATTCCTAATCCTCCAACAATAACTCTTCTTAAATTTTTGATAATGTCCAGATATTTGTCTACGATGGCACAAATGGTGAGCGTGTTGGAGCACTTGGTGGAGAGAAGGCGCACAAAGGAGGAATCTATGCGGTAGGTACTGGTGGAAAACCTAAGAACGGGTGGAGGGTGTGGAATGCTGCAGTCATTGTCTGCTGTGCTTTGTAACTTTGTCTCGGTAAACAAATCACTTCTAAAGCTAGATGTTGGCCAATTGGCAGTAACAAGGTCAGATGTGTGGGTTTTGTCTGAGCTAGCAACAGTTTGCATACGGTCAGGTCAGTTTGTTGAAACAAAAGAAAAAGCCTTATTTCTTTATTCAAATCAGGAATTGTGTTCCCTGGATCACCCTGCTCCCCTTACCTATGTCAGACTGTACTTTCCTCAGGTCAGCTGGAGTCCTGACAGTTCCCAGCTGATCTCAGCCTCAGGAGACAAGACGGTCAAGCTCTGGGATGTTGGTGCAGGCACAGCAGTCACAACCTTCAACATGGGCTCTGATGTGACGGACCAGCAGCTGGGCTGCCTGTGGCAGAAAGACCACCTCCTCAGCATCTCTCTGTCCGGATACATCAACTACCTAGACAAGAACAACCCCGACCGGCCCATACGGACAGTTAAGGTCAGAGTTCAATGCTACAGAAACCGTGCATATGTGTTCACGTTAGCCCCCACTCCGTAGAAGGAAGGTGACTTTAAAACTCTTTACCTGCAAGAATTAAGTACCGTTAGCCCGAATTTCTAATTTGTCACTGATTTGGAAGTGTAGTTAAAGATCTTATCTTATAAGTTCAGTTCCAGTTTCTAAGGGGCTTTAAAACTAGGCTGCTCTTCCAGCAGTAAAGTTAAAGCAAGCCATACAAGTCTGTGTAGATGAGCCAGGCTTCATCCATCTGGGGGAAGGGACAGCAGTTGTACAGTCTGAGCAGGCTAACATGACACAGGTTTATCCATGCTGACACTGACACTGGTTTATCCAGTGTCACGTTTGGGGGGGGGGGGGGGTCTGACCAAAACCGCATGCACACAAGGACATTGTGTCCCAAACTCTTACAGAATCATGCACCCAGTTAATGTAGGTGCATCAATCATTCCAACATGGTGGAGAACTGCGGTCCAATTAAATGGTCAAATTAAGCTGTAACTGTGGCTGAGCTCCTCTGTGTATGTTTCCATGCTCACTGTTGTCCTACAAATGAATGTCATGCCCTTATGTTTAAAAAAAGGAAAAGAAAGGTTCCAGTTATGGACATAAAGAGATTACCATCCATCCGTACAAGAGTTGATGCATTTAATTATATCATTTTGGCAATGGCAGAGCTGGACAGGAGTGTGGCTTTAAGTGGAATTAAGGCCATCAAACTGTTTCAAAATCCTTCATTGGTTTAAGACTATTATTGTACACCGTTGTTCTTCTTACAGGGTCACAGCAAATCCATCCAGTGTCTGACTGTTCACAAAGGCGATGGGCGCACATACATCTATTCGGGGAGCCATGATGGACATATCAATATCCTTTTGAATTATATATCACAGTACGGTGGCTCAATGGTCCCAAGGTATTTTATTAACTTATTTTATTATCTGAAATTTGCAGTTGAACTTCTAATTAGAATAATTAGTCTCTTATCGACTGGAGGTGAAATAGAATAATTGGTGCCATCGACAAAGATTATAGACCTTGTGTGGGTTATGTCACAGATTAATCCCAAATTCTGACGTGCAATCATAGTAATTACCAATGATCCATTTTGTTTTTCGATAAACTATAAACCATTACTCTGGAGGTTCTTAAGAAATGAAAAACACTAACTATGGTACTTTACCACTTGTTACACAGCCAGAATTCTCTCGCAGTTTCAGTTTGTATTGTAAAAGCAATTGCATCACCATCAAATTAAGAATCCTGCTTAGTTGACCTGGTGTTCCATTAGCATGAATACCAGCATATTCCCTCAAGTGTCAGAGAAGCAAGTCGTGCATGTCAATGAGTCACTGAATGAAATGGGTTCCATCATGTGGTCAGTAGGTGGCAGTACAAGCTTTGTTACACACGTCTGTAACAGCAGAACTTTAGTGGACTGGTACTGAGAAATTCTCCTTTAAAAAAAAAAAAAAAAAAATCATTCTGTCATATCTGAATAATCCGAAATGTTTTAGAAAATTTGTCTCTCTAGCTCACGTGTTTCAGGTGTCCAGTTGTCCGGTTTGTGCATAGAATTATTTTTTTCTGGAGTCTTTTTTTTCTCTTTTTCTCCTTGACATCTTCCTCACATTACTGGGATGCAGCAACTGGAGAGAATGACTGCTTCTCTGGTAAAGGCCACAGCAATCAGGTGAGCAAGATGGTGACTGACGAGGCCAGCGAGCTGGTGACGTGCAGCATGGATGACACACTGCGCTACACAGACCTCAACAAGAAGGAGTACAGGTTCGTTACCCGTTTCCGCGTAGGTAGTCTGACGTTAACCTGGCGTGGGTTAGATTTTAACATTCTCCAAACCTGCTGCTGGTTGTCAGTGCCTCTGATGTAGTGAAGATGGATTTCCAGCCAAAAAGCGTGTCGGCAGCAGTCGGAGGGCTGTCACTGGCTGTGTGCATCGGGCAGGTAAAGCCCAGCTTATATCCACTCTTCTCTGCCCTTAGTGTTGTTATCACTCTCTATCACAAGATGGCTCACTCTTTTATAATGAGTTCTCTCTTGTACTTTTCTTAGATTGTCTTGCTGAAGGATAAGAAGAAAATCTTCACGCTGGACAACCTTGGCTATGAACCAGAGGTTGGAGTCATCCATCCTCGTGGCACCACTGCTGCAGTGGGGGGAGCAGTAAGTGGATACCCGAGTGCAGATTATCATACAAAGCATGACCTGTTACAAATTAATGCCTTTTTAAACAAATGTTTTCAAGTTCGGGAAACAAAACAAAAAAAATTCACAAGCATGCGCTCGTCCATGATGATTTAATTACTGACACAGACTACACGCATCACACCCAGAATCACCTAGTATTTCCTTATGTTGTCAGGATGGGAAAGTCCACCTCTACTCAGTTCAGGGTAACACTCTGAAAGATGAGGGGAAAACTCTTGAGGCCAAAGGGGCCATCACAGACATGGCTTATTCTAATAACGGAGCCTATCTGGCGGTCATCGATGAGAAGAAAGTCACAACAGCCTTCAGTGTGGCAGACGGGTACTCCGTAAGTATATGCCTATGTATTTATTATTATTAATAATAAAAAGTCAGTTTGAACCATTGTCCTTTTTTTTTTTTAAATATTGTGACTGTTTCTTGGTCTTCAGGTGAAAAATGAGTTTTACGGGCATCATGCCAAACCAGTGACTTTGGCCTGGTCACCTGACAATGAGCACTTTGCGACTGGAGGAATGGACATGATGGTATATGTGTGGACCATTGGGGATGCTGATCAGAGGATCAAAATTCCAGGTTGGCCATTCACGTTACTTCCTGTCATGCACTGAAGTTTGCCATGATATATGGATTTATTCTGCAGCCAGATCCAGATGGACAAGAGTGCGAACACCAGCAGTGGTGGAACATGCAGACCGGCTTTTTAAGTTCTGTGCCTCAAGTTGTATATGCCATTGTATATGATTTGCAGCTGACTGAAGAGTTCAATTTAATAGCAAAAGAAAATCCAGTTTTATCGAAATTTAGATCTGTACGCATGAAGGGAGTTTGAATCCTGCAGATTGGCGAACCTACAGTATCAACATGGTATAATGCAGCTGCAGAATGATCAATTATCAGATCTTTAAACGTCCTCATTTTGCTGTCCGCAGACTCTCACCGTTTACACCACGTCAGTGGGCTGGCCTGGATCGATGAGCACACTCTTGTCACCACCTCCCACGACGCCAGCCTCAAGCTGTGGACAATTACATACTGAGCTGCAAGCAAACATTTACATCTCCAGGGACAAGGACTACTGTAGAACTCAAGCTTTTCTTTTTCCTTTTTCTAAACTGTACTTTCAAACGGTTTTCTGTGCCGTCTGTAAGCGTCTGACTTGTAAAGAGTTGTGTTTGGAAAATGGCTTCCAACGAATGGTCTGTTTTAATGCAATTAACTTAAGTGTGCACCGAGATGAAACAATGGTGTGTAAAATGTAACCATGAGTGCTTTTCCACCTCTCCATGGACCCAGAAACACATTTGTTTATCATTCCATATGTGACTTGGGGGGCTCAATGCATCCAGTTTAGAGGAGGAACCAAAAGCTTCTTTTTTTTCTTTTCTTTTTTTTTTTTAAAAATCAAGTAAAAACGATGGTTTGACAGAAATTTTGGTTACATTCCTAAAATGAGCAGTTACTGGTCCCAGCTGCATTTTCACTTCACCTTTAAATTTCAAGGTTTTTCTTTTGCTGCGTCTTGTAAATGTCATACTTGTTGTGATTCACTACTCTACCTATTGACCTGGGGAGCAATAATAGGAACTAAGAGAACAAAAAATACAATCAAAATGCTGTCTGTTCAATTAGAGGCCCTGTGTTTCTGTGTATGTTTGCACGTTTGTGTTCTTTTTTTTTTTTTTTTTCCCTCTCTCTGTCTTTATGCACCTGCTTCCAAAGTGGAGGTGGTTCGTCAATAATAAAAAGTTTTATGCATTCATTCTTAATTGCACTAAACCTGTCAATCACTTTGTGAGTTACCCACATTCAGAAAACCACTGAAGCACAGACTCTGTAACACATGCCCCTGGACTGAATGTTGTCACTTCAGTATTGTGTGCTAGCCTTTCATTTTTGTTTTTTTGGGGGACTGCTCGATTGAACTGTCAAATAAAGAAGGATTAATTGGCAAAAAGGGTATAGACAATATACAAATCTGGTGTAATGAATTATTGTCTTCTTTTAACACTTTTCTGTTGGATACCTGAAGTAAAAAAAGATAATTGACGTTTAAGGCATTGACTGTGTTAATGTTAACTCTGTGTTGACCAGGCCTATGTAAGCCAGTGTTAGTTCACTATAGGATTATCCTATGCCATTGTATAATTTCTTCTCTAATATTTGGGAAATGCCCTCTGCACAGTTTTGATTCAGTGAGTAATTGTAAATGCCACTTAAAAGTCTTTGAGCATAGTTTCTCAATTCACTTGAAACTTTATTTGAGCCTACGTTAAGCAGACCTGATTTCTCTTTTTCTCAAAGCGCATAGATGTTGTATAAAGTTTCAGGCTGCCATATCCACAGGTCACACTGTAGAAAACGTGGTGGGAACCTGCAGGACGATTCACTGGGCTGATGATGAGACGCTGTTCAAGAGGCCAAACCTGCACAAGTGTGACCATCATGGAGCTGTAAGGGAAGGACAGTAAGTATTTATTCAGCTGTCAGCAACAGCATCCTCTCATTGGATATGCCGACTGCCACCAGACACACGCATGAAGCCAATTACAAGTAGGCTATTTGTATTTTACTGCATCAAATGTGTAGAAGAGTTGGTTTAGTACACGACTTTGGGAGGGAAACAGTATTTTTCATTTGTTTGGGGAAACATCGGGCCCTACATTAACCAACTGAGAGCGAATAGACAGAAACTCCAATATCCAGTGGCAGATGGAGTTGGAAGGGAGAGAAAGTTTCTCCACAAGGCTCTCCAGGATAATATTATTGAAAGTTGAGCTTGCTGAGGGCCATCCTAACATTCTGTACCACTGAATAATGAGGAGTTATAATGGTGGTGGCATCCTCAGTGCAGCTGTTTTGCCCTGCAGGGAAGTCGATAAGACTCCAGACCGGGACCCTGGCGTGTTGTGAGACCGGAAGTGCAACAGGCCTGCAGTCCCGTCCACTGCAGCCCGGGATGTGGAGGAATAGAAAACAGCTCAGGGTGTCACAAGTGTTGAATTTCCCCCACGATGTTTTCTCACAGTTTGCTCTCGGAGGAGGCAGGCCAAAGCCCAGAAAACGCTAACACTCTCATGTGGACAGTGAACTGTCATGTGGCTAACAAACGCAGACTTACGCACAGATTTCTGACCATAGGCCATAGGCTGAAGCCTGTATCGTCAAGTTTCGTTCCACTTATTGAGGGACTACTAAATGACACCTGCAAAAAAATCCTTAGTGCATTTTGAGCTCATAACCAAAAGTTCTCCAATCGCTTTGCGCCAGTATTTTTACAATAATTACTTAAAAATGTAACTATATCGGTAGCCTGATCACACCGGTAAAGTACGCTCGAATCAAGCCGCCTAGCCGTTAGCCAATCAGAGCGCGTCCTTCAGGTACGCTCTCCCATTCAGAGGCGAGAACAGAAGAACAACAACAAACATGGCTGCTCCCGTGGAGCAGTGCATTCCCGTTGATCAGACAAAAAACGCAAGAAAAATGAGGATTATATATGCATCACACACATATAATCGGTAGACAAAGAACGGACACAGCCACTAACAGTTGTTCGTGGAAGAAGCTGGTCGTACTTTCCCGTAAGTGTATGGACGGAATTGACCGCACGTTGGCGGAGGGACACAAGACAAAGAAAGGTAAATTGGTCCAAGCAGAAACTATAAATGCTGGTGATTAGATCATTTGCAGACAGCATCTTTGTTTGTGGCTTATAATCAAAAGCTAAAGTAATACATTTGTTGGTAAAAAAAAATGCATGTGTAATTGGTGCCAGCCCTAGCCTTCATTATGAAGTAGGTGTATGAAGGCTATGTGTAGGGCCTCAATAATAATAAAAGGCATTATTATGAATTTGAAGTGATGATAGGCAATTAATTGATTTGTCAAAGAATGGTTAGATTTTAAATTTGTCACCCAACTACCAGTTCAGTCTGGTAAAAGAGAGAAAATGTATTTGATATTATTTGTTGGCAGCTGGTTTATGATTGAACTTTAACTCTCTCTCTGCTAGGGAGTTTGGTTAATGCAGCTGAAGTGAAAATGGACGAATCCATCCTCAAGGATGTACGTGGAAAAGATTGTGTCGCAATTGAAGTCCGGTAGCACAAACGGTGCTACAAAGAAAGTTCAATTCAATTCAATTTTATGTATATTGATACTAATGATAATGATAGGAATTATGACAGAAATAACACTATGCAGAGTAGTAGCAGAGCAGCAACACGGAGCAGCAGGAAACTCCCAATCACAGATCCAGCTTCCACAGCTCTAGGAACACCTGCAGGAAGTGATAGGAGGAGACTCGTATCCCTCCTATGATTTTGATGATTCATAGTTTCTGTGTGTTTTCTATTGTAATTCTCAAGTCGTAACAACCCGAAGTGATCCTAAAAAGTTTAACATCTCAAGGCTTGCTGGGTCCAACAAAAGTAATTGTTTAAAAACAGAAATGTCTTTGTGCCTTCTTTAATTCCCTGTACATTTCCATATTAAGTCTTGCCTCAGAAGAGTGAATTCACAACCCACGGGTTAGCTGATTGAAACCATTTCATTTCTGAAAACCAATTTGAATATTTGTCCATAGTAAACTGAATTTTGTAGTAAATGTGAAAAAAACAATCTTGTAGCTTATAAATAAGAGTTCATTTTTTAATGTTGTGATATTAATACTTTCCATTGTTCTTATAAATAATCAATAATTATGATTATTATTATTCCTATTGTTATGAGGCATCTGAAAACGTTACCCCTTTTCAAAATCATGTTATCATTGCTATTGCCATTTGTCAATAGTTACAGAGTGGAGATTTATAAATGGTTAGAATCGGTCTTTATAATTATATATGTACATGTATAAAATTTGGGAGATATCAACTTTGGCATGCTTAGTGCTTGGTAGAATTGTTCAAAAGTAATTGAAAAATTATATGTAGGCTTCTTATTCTCTTTCAGTTTTTCTGAAGATGATTAATTCTCTCTGTAAATATTCATAAATGTTGCAACAAACAGAAGAAGTAACTCTTGTTGGTGTGGGAATGGAGTGGTGGTGGTGGTGGTGGGGGGGGG